TTGTCATATGAGAACTGTGGCTTATGTTCACATTCTAACTTTTTTTTTTTTTTTTTTTTTGAGACAGAGTCTTGCTCTGTCACCGAGGTTGGAGTGCAGTGGCATGATCTCAGCTCACTGCAACCCCTGCCTCCTGGGTTCAAGTGATTTTCCTGCCTCAGTCTCCCAAGCAGCTGAGATTACAGGCATGTGCCACATTTTTGTACTTTTAATAAAGAGACAGTTTCATTATATTGGCCAGGCTATTCTCGAACTCCCAGCCTCAAGTGATCTGCCAGCCTCAGCCTCCCAAAGTGCTGTGATTATAGATGTGAGCCACCGCTCCTGGCCTCTTGGGGAGGCTGAGGTGGGTGGATTGCTTGAGGTCAGGAGTTCGAGACCAGCCTGGGCAACATGATGAAACCTGTCTCTACTAAAAATACAAAAATTAGCCAGGCATGAGTGGTGCACACTTGTAATCCCAGCTTCTCAGGAGACTGAGGCACCAGAATCGCTTGAACCCTGGAGGTGGAGGTTGCAGTGAGCTGAGATCACATCACTGCACTCCAGCCTGGGAGACAGAGCGAGACTCAAAAAAACAAAAAAAAAAAAAAAAAGAAAGGAAGGAAAAATAAATACTACTGGCAATTCTCTTTTTTGGTTATTTTATATGGAAAGAGGAAAACGTCTTCAAAGAAAAAAAAGGTGTCTGCATTGGCTTTGCTTGAATTTTTGCTTGGTTGGTTAGTAGAATTAGAATGAACAGGTTTTAAGGCCACGCATAGTGACTTATACCTATAATCTCAGCACTTTGGGAGGCCAAGGCGAGAGAATCACTTGAAATCAGGAGTTCAAGACCAGCCTGGACAACATAGTAAGTCCCCTATCTCTACAATTTTTTTTTTTAATTAGCCAGGTGTGGTAGCACACACCTTTAATCCCAGCTACTCGGGCTGAGCACGAGGATTGCTTGAGCCCAGGAGGTCAAGGATGCAGTGAGCTATGATTACGCCACTGCATTCCAACCTGAGTGACAGAGCAAGACCCTGTCTTAAAAAAAAAAAAAAAAAAGTCCAGGTACAGCGGCTCACGCCTGTAATCCTAGCACTTTGGGAGGCTGATGTGGATGGATCACTTGAGGTCAGGAGTTCGAGACCAGCCTGGGCAACCCATCTCTACAAAAAATACAAAAATTAGCTGGGCATGGTAGCTCGTGCCTGTAGTCCCAACTACTTAGAGGGCTAAGGCGGGAGGATTGCTTCAGCAAGGAGGCGGAGGTTGGCAGTGAGTCTTGATGGTGCCACTGTACTCCAGTCTGGGCGACAGTGAGACCCTGTCTCAAAAAAAAAAAAAAAATTCTAGATTTTGAGCAAATAAAATTGAGTACAAATGTTTTCTGACAATATTATTGAATGGTTTCGAGTAATATCCCTTGAAATAATTGACCTGTGGAATTGTCAGAGTTGCGTTTCCACTTTAATATTGTTTTTCCAATGCAACAGTCATAAACAAATAATGATCAGTTTTTTGGTACTAGTGAATTATTGAAGGCAAGAGCTAGAATCTCTAACTGCATGTTAGGTATCTGTATATTAATTAGAAGACTTGCTTCAAATGATGCACACAATATGTGTTAGCGATGTGAATGGTGATACTTCAGTAACAACTATTCTGAGCAACTAAATTATGCAAAAACTTTAGAATAAATTGACTGGGTGCCGTGGCTCATGCCTGTAATCCCAGGCCGGCAGATCACTTGAAGCCAGGAGTTTGAGACCAACCTGGCAACATGCCAAAACCCCATGTCTACTAAAAATATAAAAATTAGCTGGGCGTAGTGCCATGTGCCCATAGTCCCAGCTACTCAGGAGGCTGAGGCAGGAGAATCGCTTGAACCCAGGAAGCGGAGGTTGCCATGAGCCGAGATCATGCCATTGCACTCCAGAGCGAGACTCCATCTCAAAACAAAAAACAAAAAAAAAACAAAACAAAAAAACCCCACAGCTTTAGAATAAGTCGAGCAAATGTGAACATAGTAAGGAAGTCCCAAAAAGGAAGGAAGGAAATATAGAACATTTAGTTACCAGTCTTTTTCTTTACTAGCAGGGAGCAGTCATCCAAATCTGTCTTTCATAATTGAAGAAAGGATATGGAAATTCTCAACACTGAATAAGGTCCAGGCTTAATAAAAACTAGTATTTTTCCAAATAGGGTCCCAGCAATATTTAGCTGAATTTCATTTGCAATTTTAGAATCCAGTCTACCAGATGCTTGGTGCTTATTATGGCATATTTCCATTCAAGAAAGCCTTGAGAGAGGCTTAGTACCCTGAGGTATTGGAGTGAGCAAGGTAATACAGAGTCTGAATGAGCCTTTCATCACTCTCTGGGAGGACTCATTGCTTGCCGTTCTGGCATCTAAAAACCATTACCTCACACCACAGGTACTTTTGAACCTCTTGGCCACAGATACATACTGGGACCATTGTTTAGCTCAGAAACAGATGGAAAACTTTAGCTTAAGTTTCTGTGTTAAAAGTTGTGTTACAATAGATTAATTGTTTTTAATTGTAAAAAATGCCTATGTTGTTATCCTTATACCTAACCTACTTTTCACTTTGAACTCTTCCTACCTTCTCCATTTACTTTGTGATGCCAACATTTCACTAACTTTTCATTATGAGAACTTTCAGATATATAGAAAAGTTGAAAGGATGGTACAATGGCAGTGTATTTGCTGTGTGTGTATATAATATTTTGGTGGAACCACTTGGAAGTTGCAGATGTAGATGATATGTCACCCCTAAATGCTTTAGCATAAATAACCTAAAACTAGGTCATTCTTCTATACAACCATAATCCCATTATATAATTTACTTTTTTGATGTGCTTTTAATAAGAAATTTACTATTAAATTTTGACATTTATTCGTTTTTGTATTTTAAAGGTGTGAAAATTTTAATGTAAAATTATAAACGCTGATCATCCTTTTCTCTGAGAAACATATCAGCATCAGTTAACTAGTAGATTCTTTTGTTTAACGCTGGGCTGACATCACAGTACCTTTCACTAGGTGTTATCAATAGATGGCAGCATGACAAAAAGAAACAAGTTCTTACTGTTTTTCATTGTTTTTTGGCAATATATGTGTTTTAAGCTAATATATGTGTTTTAATTTTAATTTTTGTGGGTACGTGGTAGATGGATATATTATAAGCTAGTATTTTTTTAATGGAGAGGTTATATGGTTGTCCATGCACTGTCCTATGAATTTCTTGTGATCACCACTGAGTTAATCAAAAAACAAAGTTTATTTAAATGAACACCAGTAATTCTCACAGGGAAAAAAAAAATGCCGTCACAACGTACTAGCACAAATTGCCATAAAAAAGTCTGATTGTAGGATGCAGAGCTTGCTAAAAGTGTCATCTGACATTCTACTTCTCATAATAAAGATTGTAAGCTACAAAAGGCTTACTTGTTTGCTGTAGTCTTTTAATAAATATTTTACAAGCTTTGTCAGAGACAAAGGATTTGTCATCTGATGGACACAGTGTCTGCATCTTAAGGTGATTTGGCAACAGAAGAGAGGTAATGTCAAACTGTAGGCCTGGCAGCTCCTGTCTCAGTTGTGCTTTTGTTTTGTCTTTTAGGTATTCCAATGCTGCTAGAGTTCTTGGAGCAAAATATTGCCAAGGTTTGGGAAATGCTTTCTTAGCAAAGTATTGCTACCCCACATTAATTGTATCTTCTCTCCAGTTTGATGCTTTTGGATTAATATGCCAACCAAATTTGTTTAGTTACAAGTCTGTTTATTAACATCATGCATAACGATTATCAAACCTATGTTTTCTGGCACTTCCCTATAAAAGATTTGCTCCTTGAGGAAATGACCCTGCCTTAGACATTTTTGTACATCTCACACCATAGTCTCCACATTAACTACTTTGTGCTAACATAACTATGTATTGAGCTAAATTGAATTAGAGAGTGACAGAGAAAGAGAGTATGTGTGTATATGATTAACAACCAGAAACAAGAGTGGAACTTTTATTTACCCTGTAGTTATATTTTCCTTCAAAAGGAGAAAGCAGAATGAACTCCAAATTTGAAGAAAGTTGGAATCTTCCATGTTTGTGCAGGCATTAAAATTCTAGATTTTTTTTCTTTTTGCCACCACAAAGCAAAACCGATATGGTAAGGAAAATTATTTGCATCCAGAGGTTGAATACTAGGGTAACCTGCTGTCTCCTTATACATTGAAGGCTGTGGGCTCTTTTATAACGACATGGAAAAGCTTTATGTGCCTATAAACCATTTACATTTGCAGTGGAAAAAATTCTAATTGATTATTTAATGTTCTTTTTCTGTAAAAAGCCTACCAGAAATCTGTAATTCTATTCCTTCCTCATTACTGTTTTATGTTTCTCAGAAACTAGCACACTATATGTCTTATCTTTTGACTACTTTGCATTCTAAGTACTAAAATGTAAGTGGACTTGGTGCAACCATGGTCAGCTGTTGAAGATATACAAGTCCTAATCATGGATAAATTTACTATGCCCTAATGAGGATATTGCTTGGTAAAAATTAATTACATGCAAAGCCATCAAATTTTATAGACCAAAATATAAATATAAAAAGTATGTGAGTACATACATGGTTAAGTAAGTAATTTCCACATGGACTTTTGCTTTAGCACAGCTTACTAAAAAATGTGTTTTGTAGCTTGCTACTGCCATCTGCTGGTTCTCAACTCTTAGACTTCTAGCGATTGGTGTACTGCAAAGTACCAATTTTGCAATATAAAAGGGAATTGGGTCTATTTATTTTATTTTTGGGAAAATCTTAAAATATTCTTTGAGAGTAAGACATCAAGATTTTTATGTGGTCCATACAGTATTATTTTTTAGTATGGTTTTAGCAAACAAACTTACCAGTCTTTCTCTACTATTAATAATATGCTAATTTTGTATTTGAGTTTCTCATCAAACCTTTTATTCCTTTGTCATCTTTTCCTAGTTTAATGGATCGAGAAGTGGCGTTGCTTGCTGAAATGGACAAAGTGAAAGCTGAAGCAAGTAAGATGATTGATCTTTAATTATAACTATTACCTTCATAAATAGTAGGTTCCTACTTCCCCACCCTCATAACAAAAGCTCCATATAAATATCATAATAAGAGTTTGTATATTTAAATAATCTTAAGCAGTTGCATTGTACTGGCATATGAATCCTTTCAGGTGAAATAACTTTAAAGAGCCTGTTTTAAAAATATTTCCAAATCTTAATATTTTGAATGCAGAGTTCAATGTATAAAAGACTACATCATGGTATCTGCCACCAGGTTTTTATTTTGTTTCTTCCTCCATTGTTTAAGCAATTCCACTGGGATTTTTTCTACTCAGAAAAAAACCTTTAGCATAATCAGAGAAGACTTTATTAGGTTGCCTACGATTGAATGTATATGCTCCTATCATTACCTATCTCAGAACTTTCTTTGTTTTCTCAGTTTATAGAACAGTCTTCACTCAATATCTGTTATCAATGGTAGGGGAAAAGTTAGTGAATTGAGGGTTCAAGAGACTGGGTTTCTTGAAAGCTTACTAAAATAGATTCTGGAGGAATGAAGTCTAACTTTGGTGATTTGTGGGATTTTGTACAGAAAAAACAGATATCTATTTTTTGATCATTTCTGTTAAGTGTTAGGTTAAACATACACAGCTACACGAAGAAAAAGGAGTACCAACTGCAACTTGTACAATGGCATTGATTTGGGGCATTTCGGTGGCAGGTTTTATCTTCCTGCATTAAATGCCAGATTTATTATTAGGAAAGTTGTTGATTTTAACCCACCCTCAAACTGATAAGAATAGAAATGTTGGGCTAGGTTGAGATCATGACTCACAGTTAAATCACTTGTGTGTGTGGTCACGGGCCAGAGGATGCAGCTTTGAAGCACTGAAATGACTTCAGTTTGGGTCCATTTTAACTTGAAAATTTGAGAATGTAGCAGAGATGCCTTCCACTGTTTTTCAGAGGTGAGATTTCGTTTACATTGAGCAATATATTTTGAGTTTCTAATTTGACATTTCAGTCCATTATTTTATCTGTACATTCTCTTTTTGAAAATGGAAATTCAGATAAACTAAAACCATTAAGAAGACATATTTCTTACTTTTGAGAAGAAGGTCCTTTAAGGCCAGGCATGATGGCTCACACATATAATCCCAGCACTTTGAGCGGATCACCTGAGCCCAGGAGTTTGAGACCAGCCTAGGCAACATAGTGAGATCTTGTCTCTATGAAAAATAAGAAATTAGACTGGGCGCAGTGGCTCACGCCTGTAATTCTAGCACTTTCGGAGGCCGAGGTGGGCAGATCATGAGGTCAGGAGATCGAGGCCATCCTGGCTGACATGATGAAACCCTGTCTCTACTAAAAATACAAAAATTAGCTGGGCATGGTGGGGCATGCCTGTAGTCCCAGCTACTCGGGAGGCTGAGGCAGGAGAATCGCTTGAACCCAGGAGGCAGAGGTTGCATTGAGCTGAGATCGCACCACTGCACTTCAGCCTGGCAACAGAACGAGATTCCATCTCAAAAAAAAAAATTAACCAGGCATGGTGGCATGTGTTATATGGCTATATGTAGTCCCATTTACTTGAGAGGCTGAGGTGGGAGGATCGCTTGAGCCCAGGAGGTCGAGGCTGCAGTGAGCTGTGATTGCACCACTGTACTCCAGCCTGGGCAATAGAGCAAGACCCTGTCTTGATATAAAGAAAAAGAAGGTGCTTTTAAAAATATTAATACATCTTTTATATTATAGAAAATTTTGGCTGGGCGCAGTGGCTCACTCCTGTAATCCCAGCACTTTGGGAGGCCGAGACGGGCTGCTCATGAGGTCAAGAGATCGAGACCATCCTGGCCAACATGATGAAACTCCATCTCTACTAAAAATACAAAAATTAGCTGGGCGTGGTGGCATGGCCTGTAATCCCAGCTACTCGGGAGGCTGAGGCAGGAAAATCACTTGAACTCAGGGGGCGGAGGTTGTAGTGAGCCGAGATCGTGCCACTGCACTCCAGCGTGGTGACAGAGCAAGACTCCATCTCAAAACAAAACAAAACAAAAAATTTCAAATAGGCTAATGTAACAAACTCCCATCACTCAGCTTCAACCAATTATCAAGTTGTACCCAATCTTATTTTATCAAATTCAGAGCTCAGAGTTTTACTTAACTTCATCAGTTTTATATCTTTAGCTCTTTTCTCCCTGAAAATCCTGGTTCTTAATGACATGATTTAATTACTCATTTACCAATGCTATTAAGAGTTGCTTTTAGTTTTTTACATATTATAATTTTATTAAGTAATTGATGGGTTTGTAGTATTTCAGTCTTTTCCAATGTTGTATAATTAGGTCCTGTGAGTTATCTGTTATGTGTAGAAAGTTTTTTATTTACCTCATTTTCGCCATTTTGAGAGCTATAATTTTGTCATAGAATCACTGAATGCTAGAGCTGAGAGAAACTGAAGTTGATACAAATGGCAAATAGGTTTTATCTTGGGAGCTAAACCAATAGATCATTTGTAACTGTTGGGCTTTGGTGTTAAGAAACTTTTGTAGGCATGCTCCTGACTCCTGAGAAAGTGGGCCCTGACTGATTAGTGTAACTTGGGTCTAGGCAGCCCATGTGTGCATCTTTGTGGCAGGCAGTTGGGCTGAGTAAACTTGCTAAATACATCCAGGTCTCTGTAATACCTGGTGTAACTCTTTAAAATTTCTGTTTTTTTCTGACATGAATTTGGCTAATTCCTCAGTATGTTACAGGATTCTGTGTATATCAGTTAGGGATTCAGTTTGACTACATGGAACAGAGTGGCCTAAATAAATGTGAGTGTCCTTTTTTCTCAGGAAATGAAAAGTACAGAGGTAAGCAACCCAGAGCTGGCGGGACATTTCCAATATGACATTAGGGACCCAGGTTCTTCTATCCTTCTGCGCAACCATTCTGAGAGTATGCTTATGGTCAAAAGACAACTCCCTAGGCTCCAGTCAAGAAGGAGTAAAATGTTACATGCTAAGACTCCTTTAAAACACTCTCCTGTAAACCCTGCCCTTTGAGTTCTGCTTATATCTCAATGGTGAAACTGTATCACATGACCATTTCATCTGTAGCAAAGCCAGAAAATACAGATTTTTTTTACCTAATTTTGTTGGTACCCAACAACATTGGATTTCTGATAGCCCTGAATGTTCTTGAATATAGTTGGAAAGACTGTGTTCTATCAACTAACGGTCTTTGCTACAGTCCTCCCCTACCCAGTATCCCTCTTTTTTCCAAAATGAGAATATGTTCACCACCTCCTCAGTAGCAATACCTCCAAAGTCTCGTCTAGTTAGTTAATATTCAGCTGAAAGGCTAGGTCTTCAGAGTAATTTCAGATCTTCCAAGGATGGGATCTCATAAATTAAAAGAAAGGCTAAATGCCCCCTTCTCCAATATTACACAGTTGGAGAAAGAAAAGGATGATTATAGTAAAAATTCCCACTTGGAAGAGCAATGATCAAATCTTGCTGGTGGGAAGGAATAGCAGAGTCCCTTCCCTGGTAGTAGAGAACGTTCCTTGGGTGGTTTATCTGCTTCCAGGGAGGATTTCTTTGGTTCAGTTTCCACTGTAGCCCCTGTCTCTCTGGGAGATTTTTATTGTCTGTTCTCTGCCATGACCAAGTTGTATCCAAGTTGTATATCAGAAAGCATGCCATAGAAGGTGGTTCTTAAAAGGGTGTAACAATTAAATACCCATCACTAGGGAACTCGGTAAATAATTGTGGTATATCCCCATACGCAGTGGCTGTTAAACAGAATGAAGGTGATCCAGATGTAGTAATAGGGAATAAACTTAAAAATATATTAAGTAAAAATAGCTAAAGTAAAGGAAAGACCATGTGTATGATATACTTCCATTTGTGAGAAGGGAAAAAGGAGAGATACATATGTATACATGTTGTGTGCACATAGACAATATTTGGAAGTGTACGTAAGAAATGGTGAACAGTGACGGCCGGGCGCGGTGGCTCAAGCCTGTAATCCCAGCACTTTGGGAGGCCGAGATGGGCGGATCACAAGGTCAGGAGATCGAGACCATCCTGGCTAACATGGTGAAACCCCGTCTCTACTAAAAATACAAAAAAAAACTAGCCGGGCGCGGTGGCGGGCGCCTGTAGTCCCAGCTACTCGGGAGGCTGAGGCAGGAGAATGGCGGGAACCCGGGAGGCGGAGCTTGCAGTGAGCTGAGATCCAGCCACTGCACTCCAGCCTGGGCGACAGAGCGAGACTCCGTCTCAAAAAAAAAAAAAAAAAAAAGAAATGGTGAACAGTGGTTTCCTCTGGAGAGGAGACCACAAAATCAGAAATAAGAGAGATGCTCTTTTCATTTTATACTCAACTTACTCTAGATGAATATTTTTTATTATGTGTGCATATTTCCTTTTTAATTTATATGCATCTTGATAAAATTTTTTTGACTGGAAGGAGAAATAACAAATGATTTATGAGTGTTTGTGATTTATAAAAAAATGTTTACTACTTAACTGCCTTCAGAGACCCAATGGAAGGTAGAGACCGGACTTCTGATATTTTCATTATTTTCATTTTCTGGATGGATGGGCAACTAAGCCTTTGGCTGACCAAATACCTACTGCAAGGCTTATATTTCTAGTTCTTCTTTATCCTATTTAGCAGTAACATAAGGTTCACACTCACTTTTTCTCTACAGTGGAAATTTTGCTCAGCCGACAAAAGAAGGCTGAACTTCTAAAGAAGATGACTCATGTGGCTGTTCAAATGTCAGAGCAGCAATTGGTTGAGCTCAGAGCCGATATCAAGGTAAAACTTCTTTCTGCTTTCTGCCTTTCTTCTTATCCTCAGGGGCTAAAGTAAGAACTTTTCATAATTCATGGCCATATCTAATATATTAAACTCATGATCTTCCTTTCCCAAACCTGGCCCTCTTCCAGGTCCCTTTCTCTGTAAGTGGTATTGTCATCTACCTAGTTATCCCAGCTGGAAACCTTAGAAAATTTATCCATTTCCCACCTTAAATCTATCAGCACACCCCATCCATTTGACTAAATCTCAGATCTGACCTTATTTCTTCATCTCCACCACCACCATTATGATCAGATTACCACCATCTCTTGCCTGGACTTCTGTAAGAGCCTTTTAACTGATTGTGTTCATCCATTCTGTCTCTGCCCCACCTGCCCCACCCTCCATGTAGGTTCCCCACACTACAGCATTCTGCTTCAAACTTTCTGTTGCTTTTAGGATAAATACTATAATCCTTAATCCGGTATGAAGGACTGTGTAGTCTTGCTCTGCCATTACCCTCAGTTCATACCATCCCCCCCGGTCCTCTGCCCTCAAGCAGAGAGCAGAGGCTGGAGGCTTCTACACTCCACAGACACACACGCTTTTCCATCTGTCCAAACGCTCTTCTCCCGGCCGCCAACCATAGTTACCACTCTTTTTTCTTTTTGGGAGACAAAGTCTCGCTCTGTCACCCAGGCTGGAGTGCAATGGTGTGATCTCGGCTCACCGTAACCTCTGCCTCCCGGATTCAAGTGATTCTCCTACCTCAGCCTCCCGAGTAGCTGGGATTACGGGCATGCACCAACATGTCTAGCTAATTTTTGTATTTTTAGTAGAGATGGGGTTTCTCCATGTTGGTCAGGCTGGTCTCAAACTCCCAACCTCAGGTGGTCTGCCTGCCTCAGCCTCCCAAAGTGCTAGGATTACAGGCATGAGCCACCACACCCGGCGGCTAATTTTTATATTTTTAGTAGAGATGGGGTTTCATGATGTTGGCCAGGCTGGTCTCAAACTCCTGACCTCAGGTGATCCACCTGCCTCGGCCTCTCAAAATGCTGAGATTACAGGCGTGAGCCACTGTGAACAGCCCAGTTACCACTCTTGACCTCCTCATCCTTCCTGACTTCCCCATCATATCTCCCCATTCTATGCTTTCAGAGCACAGTTAGGATTTTATGTGCATTTGCTTAATTTGTCTTCCCCACTAGATAGTGAACTTCACAGTGAGCTCCTGTCTCTCCAAGTGCCTAGCACAGCACCTTGGTATGTAGTTGGTCTTCTGTAAATAGTTGGTTGGCCAATTCTGATTGTATAGAGAAAAATTATCTTTGAGATATTTGTTGTAATCTTTTTACAAAAATCACTCAGGTTCAATATGTATACCTTTTAATTCTTTTTTGTTTTTTTTGAGACAGAGTCTCGCTCTGTCATCCAGGCTGGAGTGAAGTGGCGCTGTCCCCGCTCACTGCAACCTTTACCTCCCAGGTTCAAGTGATTCTTGTGCCTCAGCCTCCCAAGTAGCTGGAATTACAGGCATGTGCCACCACGCCCTGCTAATTTTTGTATTTTAGTAGAGACAGGGTCTCACCATGTTGGCCAGGTTGGTCTCGAACCCCTGACCCCAAGTGATCCACTCGCCTTGGCCCCCCAGAGTGCTGGGATTACCGCACTTGGCCAAATTCTTATGTAAAGAACAGTGTTTCTGAGACTAAGCATGTGAACCTGAGGGAAATTGGGATATTCATGGATAGTTGTGGTCATTGGCATTCTAAATAATTGTTTATAAACTGGAAACTGCAAGCTGTGACAAAGGGAGTTGGCCTTCTCCACACCTGTGCCCTTTACCTCTTCTCTTTCTGAACACATAAGATTTATTGTCACACTGAGAGAACACTTGCTGTACAACAGTCTCTATAAAATAAAAACAGAGGTGGAATATCATCCAGGACCTTATAGGGATCCTTGCTATCATCTGACCCAGTGTTAGACCTGTGAAGTATTGTTCTCTCGCTGCCTCCCCTTCAACTCTATTGGGGTGAACTATCCAAATCATGCAAATGTTCAGTTACCATTTTCTATTTAACTAAAACTATATGATTAAATTTTATAGAAAGGCCTCCTCACATTGATGCCAGTCAGTCTCATTCAACTCTTGGGGAGAAGCCGGAAACCCCTTTGGAATTAGATGAGAATTCTGGCTCTCACAAGCTTCATCTGTTCCTCTTCCCACATGGCTGAAAAGCTGCTGGAAATATTTCTGCAGGCTGACTAAGGATCTGTTTCTCTCCACTTTTTCAGTGTACTGAAGTGGGTGCTGTGCAATTTAAATGTCTTATTTCCAGATCATTTTATTTCCGTCATTCCTATTATGTCTTTGACTCAACAAACCCTAGAATTTGTTTCAGAATTAATCTCAGACTGATATTACATGTCTGAAGGCTTTGTAACAAGAGGTTCGTGTGCTTTCCTAAGCCGCAACATACTCTGAAGTTTGAGGAATTCAAGGCTGGAAGGTCATTTTTCTCTCTCCTTTCCCTTTCAGTGCTGCTGGTTGCTTCCCGAGAATTCTGATGCAGAGCAGTATTAGGCCACCCCCAGTTAAGAGGAGTGTCCTGAAGGGTTCAGTTCTTCCAAATTATATCTAGGCCTTTCACTTTTCTTTTTTATCTCCTTTTCATCGGAAAAAAAAAATGATTGCAGGCTACTTTAGACATTGTTTAATGAAATAGACCCCCAGAAGCACTTTATTCCTGACATGTTTCTAGTCCCACGATTTTTATAGCATGGTTAGTTTTTGACTCAAGGGGTTGGTTACTTCTCAGCTCAGTCTGCTTAAAAGGATTAAATTACTTGCAGCATAAACTTCTCATTTGCAAAGTTCACTTTTCACATGAATGATTTTCCATCTCAAGAAATTGTTCCTATTTCAAGGACTAAGAAATCCTACTTTATTATAAAGAGATTAAGTGGGTTTCCTAAGGAAGTTCCTATTAACACCAAACCATCTATCTAAATGGTATCATTGTAGCACCTTGTAAACATTTTTGCTGCCTCTGTTTCTGTATAAAATGGAAAGAAGTGGAGAATAGCCAACAGTAGAAAGATGGCCCTCTACTATAAAATCTTCCTCCTCTTTTCTTTCTTTCTTTTTTTTTTTTTTGAGACGGAGTCTCGCTCTGTAGCCCAGACTGGAGTGCAGTGGCCGGATCTCGACTCACTGCAAACTCCGCCTCCCGGGTTCACGCCTTTCTCCTGCCTCAGCCTCCCGAGTAGCTGGGACTACAGGCACCCGCCACCTCGCCCAGCTAGTTTTTTTGTGGTGTTTTGGTAGAGATGGGGTTTCACCGTGTTAGCCAGGATGGTCTCGATCTCCTGACCTCATGATCCGCCCATCTCAGCCTCCCAAAGTGCTGGGATTACAGGCTTGAGCCACCGCGCCCGGCCCTTTTTTCTTTCTTTACATTTTCTCTTGATTATATCGAATGGGCTTGGCCATCACGTAGCATTTCATAAACTTACAGACTTGCCTTTGGGCTCTTGAGAAATTGAATAGATTTATTCGATCACCCAGCGTTGGTCATGTGATGGCCATTTAATAAACTTTGAAGCAGTAAAAAGACAATTAAAAATGATTGTTTTGGCCGGGCACGGTGGCTCAAGCCTGTAATCCCAGCACTTTGGGAGGCCGAGACGGGTGGATCACGAGGTCAGGAGATCGAGACCATCCTGGTGAACACAGTGAAACCCCGTCTCTACTAAAACTACAAAAAACTAGCCGGGCGAGGTGGCGGGCGCCTGTAGTCCCAGCTACTCGGGAGGCTGAGGCAGGAGAATGGCGTGAACCCGGGAGGCGGAGCTTGCAGTGAGCTGAGATCCGGCCACTGCACTCCAGCCTGGGCGACAGAGCGAGACTCCGTCTCAAAAAAAAAAAAAAAAAAAAGATTGTTTTATCTGTATAGTAAGTTATGGGTTCCATGGATGATGTTTGTCTAACCTGGAGGCCTTTCTTTGCCCTTTCTCCAGCACTTTGTTAGTGAACGTAAATATGATGAGGATCTGGGACGAGTAGCCCGGTTCACCTGTGATGTAGAGACCCTAAAGAAGAGCATTGATTCATTTGGACAAGGTGAGATGGTGAGAGGGTCTGGGCACTACAGTTGGTGATTATTAATAAGAGACTGACATGCTGATTGTCTTCGTCCCGATTCCTCATTAGTGCCTCTTGTTTGCTTGTTTTTGTGAAAAGTAACTCTGGGATGCTTATGAAGTCCATGGGTCCAGATACTTTGAACTCTGAGGACAAGTATTTGCCAGCTCCTTAAATGTGAAAGACTGTTTTTTCATGCTGAATTGAGAGGTGCATGATATGTGGTATAAAGAGCATGGGCCCTTCCGTCAGACCAAGTTTGGATCCCTGCCTCTATAGTAACCTCATTTTACTCCTCTCCAAAATGCAGATAACAGGCCAGGCGCGGAGGCTTACATGTGTAATCTCAACAAATTGGAAGGCTGAGGCCAGAGAATCGCTTTAGCCCAGGAGTTCAAGACCACCCTGGGCAACATAGCGAGGTTCCCATCTCTTCAAAAAATTAAAAAGAAAAAATTAGCCAGGTGTGGTGGCACATGCTTGTAGTCCTAGCTACTCAGGAGGTGGGGTGGGGGTGGGTAAGAGGGAGAAGATAGTTTGAGCCAGGAGTTTGAGGTTCCAATGAGCTATGATTGCCACTGCACTCCAGCCTGGGCACCGGAGCAAGACTGTGTCTCTAAATAGGAGAAAACAATACTTGTCTTGCCTAGAACATAATAGACCCTTAAATAATAGCATTAAAGGGTAAGGGAGTACCTGTGAGGTGAGAGTTTCTAGTGACCTGTTTGTCAAACCCTGAACTTTAGCTTCTTTGTTCTTTCTGTCTAGTATAAAAGTGAAATATTGCCAGGCGCGGTGGCTCACGCCTGTAATCCCAGCACTTTGGGAGGCTGAGGTGGGCACATCACGAGGTCAGGAGATCGAGACCATCCTGGCTAACACGGTGAAACCCCATCTCTACTAAAAAATACAAAAAATTAGCCAGGCAAGGTGGTGGGTGCCTGTAGTCCCAGCTAATCAAGAGGCTGAGGCAGTAGAATGGCATGAACTCGGGAGGCGGAGCTTGCAGTGAGCCGAGATCGCACCACTGCACTCCAGCCTGGGCGAGAGAGCGAGACTCCATCTCCAAAAAAAAAAAAAAGTGAAATATTTAACCTGTGGCAACAATTATAAACTCATTGGTAGTCCAGGCTTAAAGCCAAGAAAAAAAATCTAGAGAGTGGTTTTAAACCATTGGAATTCTAACACAATTTGAACTGAAAATATTAATATTTGTTCAGTTAAATAGGTACTTTGAATTTGGGATTAATTTTGCAGAAAGAAATTTGGCAATATACGTGTTTGTTGTAAAGATTAGTGCTATTCATATTTAACTGATCTTGATTATTTATACCTTGTATCATTCAAAATTCTTTAAAAAATTTAGTAAAGATTGTATGTATGTACCTTTTTCTTTCTTTGCCAAGACTGTACTTTAGAATGTTTCTTGCATAGGAAACTGAACATATGGTCTATACTATTGTTCCCAGGTTTAGTCAGCTGCTAGAGCCATAGCCAGGAGTTTAGGTAGTACCAGATCCAATCCCAAGAAGTCATTAGTTGGTGGGGAATGGGTAACTTTGATGTTAAACTCTTCTCTTGTTTAAGAATTCCTTTACAAAGCAGTGGGGCTTTGGAGGAAGTGGAGGAAGAGGGCAGAAGGGAGATTTTTCTTCCTGTTACCAGTTTTAGAGGTTTTTCTTTACTTGAATAGACAGTTCTTTATCTTAAATTGCTCATTGTGAAATTGAGAAAGTAGAAACCTTACCCATTGTGCTGTTCCATCATATGATCATATATTCCTCATATTTCTGTTCCAGTGTCTCATCCAAAGAACAGCTATTCAACCAGATCCCGATGTAGCTCAGTTACATCTGTGTCCTTGAGTAGCCCAAGTGATGCCTCTGCTGCTTCCTCTTCCACCTGTGCCTCTCCTCCCAGCCTTACAAGTGCTAACAAGAAAAACTTTGCACCGCGAGAGACTCCTGCAGCCATAGCAAACTCCAGTGGCCAGCCCTACCAGCCACTTCGAGAGGTAACCTAGCTTCTACGCTGAGCGTGTTAGGAAGAAAACCCTCCAGATTGTCAAAGCTTAAAAGCTGATAGCTCAGTATATTATCTTCCTTTCTTTATTCCCATTCCACGCCTGTTTTGAAACCCTCCAACCCGAGTTAGTTCCTGAGAAAGCATTAGATACGTATGTTCCAAACTGCCAGCCAGTTTAGATTTCCTGTTGCCAAGAACTGCTGACTTTCTTGTGTTGGCAGCGATCCCTGCTGTTGTAGATAGTATTGCCTGGTAATTAGTCACACTGGGAGTCGTGCATCCGTCTCAAGGTAGACAGGCACCACAAGTGGCAGTTTCACCAGTGTGCATCTGAAAGCAGCAACTCCCTAGAAGGACAATGTGGAATTTACAGGGAAAGAGAGAGTGACCTGGTGGGGATGGGGGGAAAACACTAGAAAGCTGAGGAGTAATCCCATAGGTTCTTCTCCTGTTTGAAGAATAAACACAAGAGCAATCCAAGGCAGTACCATCAGTAATTCTTCAGAACTGGTATGACGTTTGGAATTGGAGGACAAAAATAAAATCCCATACCATAAGCTTTCCGGATTATATTTTGAAAGATGTGCTGAATGCCACAGCAGCAAGCTTTAATCTATAGTCATGACATTTAGTAAAGCAGGCCATAGTGATGTTTACTTTATTATTCCAAATATTTATTATCTTTACCAATGGCCTTTTATCTGAAGAGTTCAGACATAATATAATATACTTGTCCAGTTGAGGACTTGTAACAACCCACAGAATGTTCTTTCTTCCTTATCTTTCTTCTTGCATCCAGCTAAAGAAAAGTAAATTCTTCAGTGGAGAAGAGCCTAGGCATGAAGAGCAGGGAAAGATGGATTAGTTCTGAAGTAGTGGCTAGGTTGGATCGGCTGACAGAATTCTTTGAGTCTTGAGAGATAAACTGAGTCCCAAGCATGGAATACCACAATTCTGCTTTCAGAATACTCTTGTAAAGTGAACGAATGGGGTACCATAATGCTAGAGCACCTTGAACATTGTATTCTTTTATCTTTAGGTATTGCCAGGGAACAGACGAGGACAAGGCTACAGGCCACAAGGCCAAAAGTCCAATGACCCCATGAACCAAGAGCGGCATGACAGTATGGGTCGTTACAGAAACAGCTCGTGGTCTTCATCTGGTTCCAGGTATCAGAGTGCTCCATCTCAGGCACCAGGAAACACCAGTGAAAGAGGCCAAACTCACTCTGCAGGGACCAAAGGAACTGGAGTCAGCATGGAGCCAAGCCCTCCCATGCCTTCATTCAAAAAGGGGCTCCCCCAGCGCAAACCCAGGACCTCTCAGACTGAAGCCGTGAACTCTTGAGAGAAATTCCAGTTGGCCTCTCTCCTCTCTCCACACAATTCAACTTGATAACTGGACTTTAGGAAACTTAGATTTAATAACAAAAGGAAGTTTATGCGTATTGCTTTTTGTGCCATTCTAAATATTGTTGGTTTCTTGTCTCCTTATTTCCTCTTTACCATTTTTGGAGGGGAAGCTATTTTTTTTCCTTGATCTTTCCCAGTGATATGGATTAAATCTGGTTGGTCATTTCCACCAGGAATCAGAGGCAGCTGTTACCAGGTTTCGGCCTTCCAGTTGACCCTTCCACTGTCCAGGCTGTCTCAGGAGGAGGTGAATCAGAGCTAGTCTGTCACCTTTCCAATCTAAGCAGAAGCCACAGGTGCCTGACAGGTTCCCTTCAACCATTTGACCAAGAGAGGCAATGAGGGGATCATATGCTGCACTGGATTTGCCAGAGAAGGGAAAATTTAATTAGTGAAAAGGAAAGAACACTAGGAAACATTTGAGAACCTGCCTCTATCCCAGAACGTGCCTGAGATTTGACACTCAAATCAGTGTTTAGTCTTCTGCTTGGCACCATAGCTTAACCTGCAGTTTCTTCAAAATGCCTAATGCCTTGTTTCCTATTACCTTAGATTGCAAACCAGTCTAGGGAAGTCTATGGGAAAATAGCATTTAATTAAAGTTAAAAAAAAAAAAAAAAAAGATTGGGTGCGGTGGCTCACGCCTGTAATCCCAGCACTTTGGGAGGCCAAGGCGAGTGGATCACTAGGTCAGGAGTTCAAGACCAGCCTGGCCAACATGGTGAAACCCCGTCTCTAATAAAAATACAAAAATTACCTGGGCATGGTGGCGTGCGCCTGTAATCCCAGCTACTCAGGAGGCTGAGGCAGGAGAATCGCTTGAACCCAGGAGGCGGAGGCTGCAGTGAGCCAAGATTGTGCCACTGCACTCCAGCTTGGGTAACAGAGCGAGACTCAGTCCCCCCCAAAAAAACAAACTTTTTTTCTGTTTGAATGTTTGGAGACTTTTTTTTGTTCTCTCCCTTTCCTGAACCCTATTCTGATCCTGAACCAAATTTATAGCAATATAATTAGTGTTAATCTAAGGCATTACTCATCAAAAAATTGCTGCAATCAATCTTTATAGTTGAATAAATAAAAACAGCTGCATAAATATTCCCACATTTGTTTCATAGGAGCAAGTGGTTTCATTTCATTATGTTTTTCTTTGGGCCTCATGGGGGTAGAAGTCACTCAGCTTGTTCCAGGATTAGATGAGGGTATCTGATTCCCAAGTCATTTGTCTGCCACCGCTGTGTAGCTTCAGAACCAGATTAAAATGTGAAAGCCTGGATGAGCAAATGCAGTTGTTCCTAGTGAGAAAGGATCATAGGATAGGGAATGGTGACTTTCCAAAGGAGAACTTAACCACTTTAGGAAAACCACAGCTCTCCAGGCTCTCCCAGGTAACCAAAGGTTATAATGGCACTGCTCTTCCCAACTCCCTGTCCCTTGACTGAGTACTGAACGTAATTGAGCTCTTGCATGTAGCAGGTGGCATGGGTGCCAGACCCTTCCACCCCGCACTCACCCCCAGCATCTGTGATTTAATTACAGCAGATTTTTTCTTTCTCTGGCATGTGTTCTCCCAAGTCTGAAGCCCAGACTGTAAGTGGCAGTCGTGCAGAACGTAGCTGCCTCAGGGCTTCCCTTGCCTCCTTGGCTGAAGCTGAGCTGCCAGGGTTCAGGTTGGTTGAACACATTCAGAGAGAGAGAGAGAGTGTGTGTGTATCTGTCTGTCTTTCGGTAAAGAAAACAGTAGTCAAGGAGCTCTGGGAAAGCCATTTTCCAAGAACACCTCATTTTGGGGAATTTGTCCAACAACACCAACAGCCTGCTGGGTGTCAGGAAAAAACCCTGCATTTCTGATTAATTGCTTACCTATACTTTATCAGAAATCCAGAGATTGAAGTGACCTTGAAGGATTATGAGGTCTGTCCCTGTATCCAGGCAAGACTATACTTAACTGCCCAGACAGATGGGACAAGGCATGTTTATCAAAAATGCCTTGAAGTTAAAATCTCCTCATAGAAAAATATTTGAAAATTTTTCATGACCACAAAAAGTTTGAAAATTATGAATTAAAAAAGTTTTTATTACAAAAGTAGTATTTAAAATATCAACACAGAAATATAAAAGAAAAAAGTTTTCCATCTTTCCACTTCTCAGGGGTAATGATTGTTAATTTGGCATATATCCTTCTACGCCTTTTTTGTTTTTAGAAATGGGGTCTTACTGTGTTGCCTAGGCTGGAGTGCAGTAGCTATTCACGGACATGATTAGAGGGGACTGCAGCCTCAAACTCTTGGGCTTAAGCAATCCTCCTGCCTCAGCCTCCTGAGTAGCTGGACTGCAGGTGTGCTCCATCACTCCTCGTTAGACTGTTTTTTTGTTTTTTGTTTTTTGTTTTGAGACGGAGTCTTGCTCTGTCGCCCAGGCTGGAGTGCAGTGGCCGGATCTCAGCTCACTGCAAGCTCCGCCTCCTGGGTTTACGCCATTCTCCTGCCTCAGCCTCCCGAGTAGCTGGGACTACAGGCGCCCGCCACCTCGCCCAGCTAGTTTTTTTGTATTTTTTAGTAGAGATGGGGTTTCACCGTGTTAGCCAGGATGGTCTCGATCTCCTGACCTCGTGATCTGCCCGTCTCAGCCTCCCAAAGTGCTGGGATTACAGGCTTGAGCCACCGCGCCCAGCCTAGACTGTTTTTAAGGCGTGTATGTGCATATACACATGGGTATATGGGTTTTTTATTATTTTTATAAAAAGATTATACTGAGCTGGGTGCGGTGGCTCATGCCTGTAATCCCAGCACTTTCGGAGGCAGAGGTGGGCGGATCACCTGAGGTCAGGAGTTCAAGACCAGTCTGACCAACATGGAGAAACCCCATCTCTACTAACAATACAAAATTAGCTGGGTGTGGTAGTGCATGCCTATAATCCCAACTACTCAGGAGGCTGAGGCAGGAGAATCACGTGAACCTGGGAGGCGGAGGTTGTGGTGAGCCGAGATCATGCCATTGCATAGCAGCCTGGGCAACAAGAGCAAAATTCTGGCTTGGCCAGACGCAGTGGCTCATTCCTGTAATCCCAGCACTTTGGGAGGCCGAGGCAGGCAAATCGTGAGGTCAGGAGATCAAGATCATCCTGGCTAACATGGTGAAACCCCATCTCTACTAAAAATACAAAAATTAGCCAGGCATGGTGGTGCGTGCCTGTAACCCCAGCTACTCAAGAGGCTGAGGCAGGAGAATCACTTGAACCAGGGAGTCGGAGGTTCCAGTGAGTCGAGATTGTGCTACTGCACTCTAGCCTGGCGACAGAATGAGACTCCGTCTCAAAAAAAAAAAAAAAAAAAAAAAAAAAACTCTGTCTCGAAAAAAAGATTATACTGTGTATATTCTGTATTTTTTTAATAATATGTGTAAACTATAATTCACTTAGGATCTCATGCTGTAGATCCTTTCCTAAATTTGCCAGTTTGACTCTTCTTCAAAGAGAAGTTAGGCTTATCCTAAATTTGAATTGTATAACCCATTCCTCATTGCCCATAGGGGTTCTAGACTTCCCAAAAGAAGGAAGATTCATGCCCTGGGCAGTTACCACTGGTGCTCCAAGAGGCCTTACCTAACCATTGTTTGTCCTTGTCTTTCCATTTCCCCTTACAGACAAATGTCTCACCCTCCCCAACTTAGAGACAGGACTGCGATTTAAGTTGTTTAGCTCTGTCAGTTATGTGAAACTTGAGAGGCAAAAGGCAAATTAGCATGGCTTCATTATGAACGTCATATATTTCCTATGCCCCTAATTTATGGCCATTTAAAAAATGTACTTTTAGGCCGGGCACGGTGGCTCAAGCCTGTAATCCCAGCACTTTGGGAGGCCGAGACGGGCGGATCACGAGGTCAGGCAATCGAGACCATCCTGGCTAACACGGTGAAACCCCGTCTCTACTAAAAAATACAAAAAAATTAGCCGGGCATGGTAGCGGGCGCCTGTAGTCCCAGCTACTCGGGAGGCTGAGGCAGGAGAATGGCGTGAACCCAGGAGGCGGAGCTTGTAGTGAGCCGAGATCGCGCCACTGCACTCCAGCCTAGGTGACAGAGCAAGACTCTGTCTCAAAAAAAAAAAAAGCAAAAAAAAGGGGGTACATAATAGAAATTTAGAAGTCTTCTCTACCTTGTCTCACTCCCCAGAAGAAATCATTAGTAAGTTTCTTACATGTCTTTCCAGAAATTTTCTAAACCCAAACATGGAAGTACCTTTTCTTCTTTCTTTTGCATAAATGGGATTCATACTGTGCATACCCTTATACAAGTTGCTTTTTTCACTTGTCCTCACTTTTTGTAACTCATTTTTTTGTTTTGTTTTAAGAAAAATCAAGTATATTTCTATATACTGACATGGACGGAGATCTACGAGGTATAGACCTCTGTTCTGTGACTTTATAGTATTCCATTGTATAAGTTTGTTATTATTAACCAGTCCCTAATGATGGTTTTCAGTTTTTTGCTGTTACAAGTACTGCTACAGTGAGCAATCCATAATGCATATATCATTCCTCACTTGTGAGAATATCCCTGTAGGATAAATTCCTAGGAGTGGAATTACTGGGTCGTATAGTTATTGATAAAGTATTATTTTGATAAAGTTGCACAGATTCACACATGCAACTTATTTATTTAGAGATATGGATTCTCTCTGTCACCCAGGCTGGACTGCAGTGGTGGGATCATAGCTCTCTGTAGCCTCAAACTCCTGGGCTCAAGGGATCCTCCTGCCTCAGCCTTCCAAGTAGCTGTGTCTACAGGTGCATGCCACCACACCTAATTTTTTAATTTTTTTGTGGCGATATGGTCTTGCTTTGTTGTCCCGGCTAGTCTCAAACTTTTAGCTTCAAGCAGTCCTCCCACCTTGGCCTGCCAAAGTGCTGGGACTACAGGTGTGAGCCACTACACCCAGCCATCAGGTTTACATTTTCTGCCAGTGTTTGGCAATGCTTTGTACAGTTGCTGAGCCAGAAGCTAAGGAGAGAAACAATCCCTGACTTCACATAGCTGATAGACCAGTTGATGCAACTGAGAATACCAATAAATAATACAAGGAAATAATGTTGCTTGAAAGTGCCATACTGTCTTCGAGGTGGAGGGAGCACAGCCAAAGGTCTGGGTCCCATGCTTGAGCCAGAACTATACCAGCATATAATCAGGCAATTGTGCAGTGGTGTATGGAGATAGTGACCTTCTGTTATATTTCAGAATCCCAAACCAGGGTACAGTCTTGTGAGTATGAATGTATGTATGGGAGGGAATAGGATAAACTAGTTGAAGTCAAGAATGACCTGGAAAATTCGGGATGCATGTCACTCATCTTTATACTAACCTGTTCTCTTGGAGAAGGTCAGTAGAATAATGACTTGTTGCCCCTGAAAATTCCACCATCTGACCTAAGAAAATGAAGTTTTGTCTTGCCTGATTTATAGGTTTCATCCCACCTTCTGGTCCCATTTGGTAAGGATTGTATCCTTATGGCAGCACATTTCTTGGAAGAAACAGGTGTACATGCTGGGAGGCTACCAACTGATACAAGGAACTATTTTATCACTAGTTTAACCAATGAGTTCAAAGTACTGGCCCACAATGCTGGTAGCCAGAACAACATACTAAATATACTATAAAATCAAGTTTTTCTGGTTGTTGTAGCCACTTGGGCACATTTTCTCACCTTCAAACATTGAGGTGCCTACTGTGTGCTAGGCACTCTGCTGAGTTCTGAGCCAGAAACTATTCTAGCTCATTCTTTTTTTTTTTTTTTCTTTATCTATATTTTTTGAGACAGGGTCTCACTCTGTCACCCAGGCTGGAGTACAGTGGGGCCATCTCAGTTCACTGCAACCTCTGCCTTCCTGGTTGAAGCACTTCTCTTGCCTCAGCCTCCCGAGGAGCTGGGATTACAGGTGTGGGCCACCACACCCAGCTAATTTTTATATTTTTAGTAGAGACGGGGTTTCACCATGTTGGCCAGGCTAATCTCAAACTCCTGGCCTCAAGTGATTTGCCCACCTCAGCCTCCCAAAGTGCTAGGATTACAGGCATGGGCCACCAGGCCCAGCCCTAGCTCATTCTTC